AATCAAGTATTGCCAACAAAATCCCTCATCCCTCATAGCGTGGTTTCAACATTGTCCAGTCACCATGGGCTCCTCCAGTTTAGGGCAAACTTGAAGTGCTGTGCTGGGAGGGAGGGAGCACCTGCAAGTGAGCAGTTAATTGCTTAATTGGTGAGTCATCAGGCCACCTGCTGTTTTCCTCTGTAACCTCACAATTTATAGGTACTAGTCCCCCCTCCCCCTTCCTCCCTTCTGCCTGCCCTGCCACCTCTGGGTTCCTGCTGGGGCACTAACTGTTTTCCCTCCCCACCCCCCTTCCCTACCAGACTGTGACCCATCCCATACTAAACAATAACTGGTAAACTAAAGGTTAAATGATTAATTATTTAACCTTGCACATTCCTAATTTAAGCCATGTGGACATACCTCTTCTCCTTTCCTGCACTGGGCCCCAAACAGGTTCTAGCCCCACCCTGTTCTCTAAAGACAAATTGTAAGATTTTTCACTTTCTCTGGTCCAGGAACCATCATTCTGCCATTCTCCTGCCAGTGTTTATCGTGATTTTAACTGACAGCAGCAAGGCACAGGGAGTCAAGAGATTCAGTTGCTCTTTTTTTTTTTTTTATTCCATCACTGACTTGCTTTCTAACAGGGGTGTCAGACATGCGGCCCATGAAACCATATGATCTGGCCCGCAGGTACTGAATGTGGCCCAGCAAGACCCAGCACAGGGAATGTGCTTCATGCTGAGCCCCAGCCAGCCAGCCCTGTGAGCTGACTCTGGTGTGGCTCACTTCTGGGCTGGTCTGGCAGGGTGCAGCACACATCCTGCGCCAGCCCCTGCTTCCCCTGCCCCTCACCCCCCAAAGCTATGTGCAGCACTGGTTGCCCATGTGCCACCTGCAGTGCAAGCCATTAAGCACCGCAGAGCTGTGTGCGCTGCATATGACTCAGGGGTCTGGCACAGGAAGCACACTACACTATGCTGTGCCGTATAGTCCTGTTTGCTGACTATGGTGAGCCCAGTCCAGCCTGCAGACTGGCCCAGCAATGCTCATCTGGCCTACAGAGCCAGATGCGTTTGGCAGCCTTGCTTTATAAGCTTGGCCCAGTCATTGGACTTCCTGGTTCTTGATTTATCTACATATAACCAAGGGCCTAATGGTACTTACTCTCCCTCTCTAAAGAGATTTGATGATGTCAAGACAATAAAGGTTACGTAAATGCAAAGCATTACTGTCACCATAATTACCTATGGAGTGTAAGGAACCAAATGTGAGCCTCTGCAACAGGAACAACATGCTCCCAAGCAGATGATCTCCCATAATCCCACATTCTTGGCCATTTAAAAAGACCAAGAGAGAGGCAGGAAATATTAAAAAAAAAAAAAAAAACAGAAGTTTTTTTTCTAAAACTAAGCTGAGGGTCAGAAGCCATGTTGCTCACACTGCGTAAGCACTGACAGAGAGGTGTTTGGCAAAAGATCTTTAGACACAGGCCTAATCTACACTACTAGCTTTTGTCATCATTCTCTTAGGAGTGCAGCCTTTAAACCATCTGGGATCCATGTTTAAGAAGCATTTAGCTCCTATTTAGATGCAAGTCATGACAGAAATATGAATCTAGGTTTACTGAAAGTCTAGGCAGAAGCTGACAAGATGCAGCAAGAGACTGATGACTCAATGCTACAAAATAGCTCTGAAAGCTAAAAGAATTTATCAGCTGTTTTGTTCTAGACAGTAGATAGTGACTACACACCAGAAAGCAACACTAGAAACTGCTCTTTCCTTCCTTGGTGCGACTGGGCCTCAGAGCACCGCACACTGGAAGAAGATGACAACACAGGTGGCCAAGTATATCGCAAGTGAAATGAGAATAAACTTGGCTTTTGATGCACTTGCTTGCTTAACCCTGTTTTCGCAACAGCAACAAGCAGAATCACTTTCACCATACAGCATGTGCAACATGGTAGAGGCTTCCAGAAATAAAAAGTTATACCAAATGCATTCTTGCTGAAAAGAGAAACCCACTAGGTAATCAGAGAAAGAGTGTAAGGACTAGTCCTTGCTAAACTGAGAGGGAATTATGAAGAGTCGAGACCCTATATGTTAAACAAGGCCTAGCATCACTTTCCTTCTGCTCCTTCCGCCTCAGTGGATGTGGCCTTGGAAGCAGACAGCACATGTAGAGAGCTTATCTAAAAGTACCTTGATCCCTGTCATTACTTCTGTCATTGTTACACGACTCAAACCGCAGCATTTATAAACAGCTTGAACACATTATTTCATTTTGACTTGGGGTAAGCGCCCACTCAAGAATTTTGACACTGGTATTTTTTTTTCTGTGCATTTTTATACCCCCAGACACAATAGACCCAAGATCCCCATTGTATTGCAGTGGCAAGCTAATTAATTATAACACACTGAAAAGCCTCAGATGAGTTTTCCAGCACTTGGAACACTAAGCCTTAAATTTTCCTGATCCTGCTTGGCAGCAGCTCCTCCAAACTACCCAGTGGCAGCTCCAGGACAGGGCATGTGATGCAGTTCCAGTTCCCACATGTCCTGGGTTGGAGTCAGACCTGCCATCATGTGCCCTAGGCCACGGCAGTAGCTGTAGCAACTCTAGCTCTTGCATAAGACACATGGCATAGCATGGGGCAGCAGTGGGGCCAGCAGCCAAGGAAATAAGGCCTCAGCAATGGCTACAAGCAAAATGGATGGAGAGTAACCAGGGATACATCAGCCTTCACTCACCCTCCTGCCACATCCCCCAGGAGCAGAGGGCACTCCCCCCAGCCATGCTCCTTAATTTCCTTTGGCCTGCCGGGTTATACCAGCTCCACGGGCTGGATCTGGCCCACAGGCTGTACTTCTGACACCTCTGGTTTAACTATATGGACAGACAGAAAAATTATCCAGACCAACCAATAGATTGTAACTGCTTAATGCCATAGGAATTAGAAACAAAACCCAGTAACTTCTCCCTGTTTTGTTTAGGGTGAACCTGTCTCACTATAACTTCCACTTATTGCAGGATAGAAACAGACATACAAAACAGTGCAGAACAGCTGACGTGAAGTAAATGCCACTGCCCTTTTAATCTGGCTGTCTGTCCACACCCTTGGAGTCTGCCCTGCAGCACTGCACCATGCAATAATTTCCCAACCCAGAAACACCAGAATGCAAAAGGTCAGTTCTAGGAACAGCAGGAATAACAAATTCATGCAAAAGAAGCGGGGGCTTGAAGATTGCTGCGGAGTGCTTTCTTTGCATGAACACTGGGTAGATACCCAGACAAGGAAAACTATGGAAAGCTACTGAATGTACTTTTTTCTTTTATAATTTGAATAAGAAATTAGAAGTAGAAGGCTAAAAGAAAACAAATCTTGATATCTAAGGGAATAAATTCAAAGATATTTGAGAATTTATTTGCACCAAATCCTCAGTTTGGGCAATCTGAATAATTCCACTGATGTTGACTGTAACTACCTAAACCAGATGAAGACCTGGCCGTTTGCATCCAGGAAGATTTCCAAATAGAGGAGAATATGAATCTACTGTACTGTTTTTAGGAACTTTGAGTTTCATTAAAAATATCCATAGTTCACCAGGCCTTGTAGTCAGAGCAGAAACCAACTGTTGCTTCACACTTTACATAGAGGACTTCACGGTTTTGTAAGCAAGTAAAGAAATTGGAAAAAGCTGTTGCTCTCTTATGACCAATGCCTTGCATTAAACTGTTTGTTTCCATCAAGAAGCAACTGCATTGGTTAGTGTGATGTAGGAAGACTACAGGGAGCCATAGAGCCAACTTTCTTTCCCAAACTGATTGGACGACTTCTGTCTTGCAGGTTTTGGTTTTGTTTTTTTTCTATTGAGACTTTTAGAGTGGGAATTTGAAAAGCTCAGAACAGGGGTTTTCAGCCTTTCCATGGTCACAGTACACACCAATACTTTTTTGAATGCAGTGGCACCCCCAGCTGAGAACCACTGTTGGTGCTGCCTCAGCTTACCTGGAACTTCTCAGCTGGGTTCTGCTTCTTCCAGATAAAACTGCCCTACATGCTTGTGGCACAGCCAGCCAGGGAAGACACCCCCCTACTATGCCAGTCCTGGAAATAAAGGCATGGGTGAAAATGCCCATCCACTTCTGTTTCTGGAAAGAGCATATAGGAACTGCACTAGGAAGGGCTACACAGCATGAGGCCACTTGCTGGCTCCTTTAGGTTAATCAGAAAGCTCTAATAAAGGGGGAGTGTGCAGGGCAGATTTACCTGGTGACTACTACGGCAGCACCCCTCATGAGCCCTTGCAGCAGAACAGGGTGCTGTGGTAGCCCAGTTGAGAACCACAGACTGATAAACAAACTGGGAAAAGGTGGGAAACAAGGAATGTGAAAATGATATTGCTGCAGTTCACCTGTGTCTCAAATTCCAAACAAAAACATAGATCACTTTTATATGCAAATATGAAACAAAAAGCAAAACAAAAGGCCTGAGACAGTAAATACAGATAGCTCCACTTTCCACAGCCTTATCAAGAGATAAGGCACTCAATTACTTGAGGCTCAGTAGAAATAGGACATTTCCATCTCTTCATGTCCACCCACCACAACTTTTATAGTTATACAGCCCCAGAGCTACTGCCCACTGTAGTCAGTGGAATGGTTCAATGAAGTTCAATGGACTTTGGAATGTCCTGTCAGCTGTTCTGGGACGCATATCAATGCATGTTTGCTTCCTAACTTCCCTGTGCCTCTGCCACATCCTTCACTCCAAGCAAAAAGTGTTAATGCAAGTTACAGATAAATCAGTTGCAAGTAGAAGCTCACTACCACAGAAGGCTCATCCACTGCTCACAGAAAAGAAATCCAAAGCCAGCACAGCAGCACAAACAGGTTTTTGTTAAAATGCAGAATGCACGACTGTGTGAGATCGTGAAACACATCCAAATTACTATCAACTTTAACAGCCCATTCAAACAGTGCTTGGGTTGGTTTAATTTTAATCTTTACATACCATTTGAGGGTATCTGATCATCACAGAGTTCTCATTCCCCTAACAAGCTGGTGGACATGCTGAAAAGAGTAGAAAGCAGTAGATAGATAGCAATATTTAGCAACATTTATAAAAAGAATTGAAAGCAACTGAAGGAAAAGATAACTGGTCTTTTTCTTTCTACTCAATTACTGACTAGGGATTTTTTTCCCCATTTACAAAAATTAAATGCAATTTTAAAGCTGTTTTCAATAAAGTCTCAAACAGTGCAAGATCTGTATAACTAAAAACAAAAAAAAGGGAGAGGAAAATAAAAGAAGAAACTGCCATTGTACATATGGTCTGATAGTATGTTCCATGCAGTGCAGAAATACACTAACTGCTTTAAAAAAGCAATTATTCTATTAGCCTACAGTTTAAAACTTGGCAAGATTGTGTTAATTACTTTATGCGAGTCATTCAAGGTTTGTCTACAGGTCACTTCTTTCTAAGCGTATGTAGAGGCCCCCCTTGGTATTCTGACTTTGCCATAAAATTGAAGCACATGCTTAAATGCACTGCTGAGTCACAGCCACAACCACCTCAAGAAGCCTTTATACAGTCTAACATTTTCAAACATCTTTTGCCGAGACAGCCAAGTTTAGAACATATGGACTAAAACTCTGCAATATATTTATTTTTACATTGACTACATACTATAGGAGAGGTTTTTCAAAAGCTTTCAGCACCAACCTAACACTGCTCTCATTCAAATCAATGCTAAGGCTGCCTTTGAGTTTAGCATAAACATAAGCATATCTACACTTTGTTACCTTTGATGACAAATGCTTCCGTCACCAAACGTAGCAGGTACAAGGGTTCATTTTCTACAGACATGTCATCAAGTCCTGCTCTAGCATACATGCTGACTGCATCTCTGTAAGATCCTTCCACATAATGGAGCTTCCCTAGAATCAGCATGGCTTCCATCATATATTTAGGCTGAAAAATAAAGATATGGCTTTGGTTAGAGATATGGAGAGCAAAGCAATGCTATCTCAGAGCTAACTGAGTACTTGACAGGGAGCCAAAAATCAAGGCAGTTAGTCTCAATAGTGACACTTCCCTTGTAATTAACTCTCAAATGCTAAGGATGGGAGGGAGGTAATGGAAAAATATCCCAGTCTTATGCTCTTGCTTTTAAATATGCAATCAGTGACCAAAGTATCAACAATTTTTTGTACCTGGAACATACAGCTGACAAGCACCAGAGTTGATGCCCCTCACATGGATGCAGCCTGCATTTCAATTGTATGAACACCCATGAAAAGGATATTGAAACTTACAGGGATATTGAAATTTGTCAGAAATGCCAATATTGTCTGCATTTTTCCCAGTGGAGGGCTATACCACCTGTGCCAGGGGCAAGACTTCCAGTGGGTTGCTCCCAGTGATGTTCCACCTCAAGGGAGGTAAAATTTCCTTTGAAACAGAAACTCAATTCCAACCTTCTTCCCCTATCCCACCTAGGGATATTTAGTAGCTCTGCACCTCTTGAAGCCCCCCACCCTAGACTGATGGGTGTGGGGAGACAGGGCCAAGGTTATACCTAAGTCCAAAAGGTAACAAAGGGGAGTGAGCGGGTGAGTATTTGTGTTCTCTAATTCAAGCAGCTCTGATCCACAAAGTACGTGCAGGTCCCTTCTCTATTCTACCCCCATGGGGACAGGCTGAACATAAGGGCGGGCAGGCCCTATAGACTGCCAGGCCAGATGGCGGCTATCATAAAAAATAATCTGGCAAAGAAATATTTGGGCTTTTGACCAATTTTACACTTTTGATGTACAAGCAAGACCTGCAAGGTTTGGGGTTATTTCTTTGCAGTTTCTAACATAAAAGAAAACAACCCAGGAAATTAAACTCTTGCCTATCCTCTTTGCCCAGAAAGACTTTAAAAACTAACAGATTATGGTATGGCAAGAAAGTGAAACTAAGAGCAAAAAAATAAAAAAAAATAAAAAATTATATTGAGATTGCCCAGAACGGCTTTGTTCACATTTCATGCAAGTGTCTAACTAACAGGCAGGAGAAAATGGCTTTGTTAAAGGTTCAATATCATCCCCACACACATACACAACTTAAAATTAAGGGCTGAGAAAGCTCCCAGCTGGCTTTCTAAGGAATCCAACAGCAAAAAACAAAGAAACAATGAATATTCTTGATGTTTCTAAAGTTAAAGAAGAGACTTGAAATAGCCTTTCAGGCTTTCCATATTCAAGCAGGAAAAGGCTCACAAACCTTTTTATATTTTAATAAATGCAGCACTGACTAGTATTGGGAGCCCATAGCTTAATAACAAGCTCATGATTAACAAACATGAACTGCATAACTGTGACCAATGACAAGGCATTCCACAAATGCAAACTGCTACATCAGTTGGTACTGCGGTCAAAATGAGGAAGGGAACAAAATGGTTCAGTGTACAAATATGCAAAGAGCTGCATTCTGCACACAGCTCACCCTAAAGTTAAAGAACACACACCCCTAAGCAGAACGGAGTTAAGCCCCTGCTTCTACTCTACGGATTTCATGCTTCCAAGCTGGGTGCCATTAGTAGCACCAAAAAGGTACTGGGAGGTTTTTGAAAATCTTAGCTCAAGTACCTATAAATGCATTGAAATAAATGCAAAGTAAACGGTACAGCTCTTTGCTACACCTCGCAGAATTAAACTCTTACAGAGTATAGCAAGTCCCACACTTTAGACTAGTATAATTTTCAGTCCCTTGAAGGCAAGATACACAAGCAGAATATATCCAATACCTTAGCAAATTCCTAAACCTCCAGCCAACTTATTTCAAATCGCAAATAAAAAGCAGCTATAGATGTGCATTAGAAAATGAACTGAGTTTTTACATCAGCAGCAAAAAGTGATTTCTTCTGACTGAACATACTGCCAAGAGACAGCAAATGGTGCATTAGTGATATTAATAAAGGAACACGGATTTGTGTTTGTGAAACAGGGACCTGGATGAATGATGCATAAGTTTTGCCTATCTTTTGAATTATCACACAACAGTAGCATCAATTTGGCAAAAATATATGTCTGCTTAGAGTACTTACTCGTAATTTTCCCCTGTTTAGAACACTGGTCAGATATTTTTTGGCTTCACTCATTTCTGGCTCGCTCTTTTCCATTAATGGAATGGAGTCCTTCACTTTGGCAAGGTTTTCCTTTAAACACTGCTCCAGCAAGGCTTCCGCAAGTAGTAGATTCCCATAGTCCTCTGAAAAATATAGATCAACCAATAGGAAAAATAACTTAATGCTGTATTCCCATATACAGCAAGAGAGAAAGAACAAGCTACCACAGAGTAATAACCTCCTCTTCTATATACATTTTCCTTAGATAAAAGAGTTCAAATGTAATGGACAACAACAGATGGAGCTACAGAGTGTAATTCTGATGAGTCTTCTGGTTAATGGAAATGTTAGTTTTCTACCAAAGAGTGAAAAACTTTCCATTATATCTAGATATTTCTTCAAAATTACTATAATCAAACATGAATAAGTCAGAATTTCCATTGCAAACATCTTTGTTATCAGAGATTAATTGTATATGCTCAAATTTAGCCAAGCTATGAATTAGATGCTTAACTTTATGACTGTGTAAACAAACATGTATTATATGCCTATGATGCTTTGCTAAATTCAGTACAGAACCATAAAAAAAAAAAAGAAAAACACAAAGTCTGAGCCTTGGTTTACAAGAACTCAGAAAATGATTTTGTAAAAGCCACACACATGCAGTTAAAGTAAAGAAGTTTGGAACACAGACCTGAAAAATAATTACTGAGCGTGAGTCTCATTGCTATATGAAGACCAACCCTATAAAATCACACACATGAGTAAGTCATTCTGCTGTCTTCAGTGGGGCTGTTCACCTAAGGCAACTGACTCATCAAATTGGGCCCATAATGAAAAAGGACCACATTTACATGAATTCAAGACAACATCAAACGTTAAGCTGACTCCCCAATAATTAGATTCCATGTGTGGAAAATTATAAATTCATTACAATTTTCCATGTATAGAATCTAATTGTTGGAGGGTCATTAAATTCATAAAGTAGCAGCAGGAGGACAAGGAAACAGACCTTCTCCCTCTACCCCCTTCTCCTCCTCCATGCCCATGCCTGCCACTTGCCTCCTCCATCCCCATCTCTGTACCTGCCTCCCTTGCCCCACCCATGCTTGTGCCTGTCCCTCGGCTCCCCCTCACCCTCTTCACCCCTCCATGCCACTTACTATGGGGCAGTCAGCAGGAAGCGCAGCCCCTGCCCAGCCGAACCAAAGAGAAGCAGCAGCACCAGCTGTGGCCTCAGCTGGGTCAAGGCTGGAGCCAAAGCTGAAGGCAAGGCAGGCCACTGGAGGGAAGCAAGAGGCTAGAGGGCAGGTGATGTAGGGGGCCAGGTAGGCTGCATGGTCTCCCGCATGCTTCGCTCTGAACCACATTCTGTGTCCCCAGCCACTGGATGGTTTCCCCTGCTACACAAGCCACCCTTGGACCAGAGCAAGCAGCAGCTCAGCTCTGGCTTCAGCCCCAAGCTCCAAGCCAAGGCCAGAGCTGAGCCACTACCTGCCTCAAGCTAGTATTCAAATCCAAGACAAAACTTTTAACCCCACTATGCTGGGGGCGGGACTTCATCTTGTATTTAAGTAACTATGGTAAATGAAATGACTCGGGGAGCAAGCCTCAAACCCAGCAGTTAGCATTCAGGGGCAGGCCTTGATATGGTCTACTACAGACATCAGGCCCCATGCATGCAGTCCATGTACAGGTGAAATTTCAAAGCTAAGGAAACACTGGTGCATGGGGCAGGGTGGAATAAAGATTATTTTTTAAAATAAATGTAAAGCACAGATTTAAAAAAATTAAATTATAATTAAATTGTTTCTAAAAATAAACCAGCTTAACGTGAAATTTGAATTTAATACAGCTTAGGCTGTATAGATTTAGTATAATCTTTTAAAATAATTCACCACAGATAAAATAATATGTTGAGTCAATGAGCCTTTACTAAAAACTCTGGAGTTAAAGCCTGATTTTCTTATATACAAGAATGAGGGGGAAAACATCTAACTTTTGAGGTGAAGCTTCGCAGAGTAGAGTGAAATTTAGTGGTTGACTGCTTTGAGCTATTTATTCAGAACTGGCATATTTTGATGACCACCTATGAAGAAAATCTTGACGACACTGATGGACGTATCACAGCTAGAGTAGTCAAAGTTGTAGAAAAGGGAATGTAGAAGATATGCTGACTACAGTGAAACCTATTTCCATAGCCTTGGACAAACTGCAGAAAGATTGCTGCTGTATTACAGATGCTGCTGAAATTTGGAAAGAATTTCAAGAAACATTAAAGCAAGAAATACCAACAGCACAGTTAAACCACAGGCAGTACAAGTGGATGAATCAAGCACTTAATCCATCTCATTTTCTTGCCAATTCTCTACACAAAGTACCAGGGTAAATGCATAACTGCCGGAGAGGAAAATGCTGTTATGACACGAGCTTCTACTAATCACCAATCAATCATGCCAACCATAATAAATTTCAGGGTCAGAGGTGAACCATTTAAGCAGTACATGTTTGCTGAGGATGTTTTAAAGAAAAGTCACACCACTGAACTAGTGGAAGTCGCTAACAAAGCACCTGGAACCAAAGTTTGTAAAGTGCTGAAGCAGCTTCTGCTAGCAGCATCCTCTTGTGCAGATGCAGAAAGAGTAGTTTTTTCACTTGGACTGTTTCATTCAAAGCTGAGAAATCAATTGAGAGTTGAAAAAGCCTGAGAGCTTGTTTTTCTCTTCCAGACTATGAATAAAAAGGGGAGGAGGATAAGATTTAAGAGTTCTAAA